GCTACTAGTCTGCAAGTGCGTCATGTGCAGCGCATTTTTACAGTGTGCTATTTGGAATTTCTTTTGGGAGAGTAAAGTTGAGAAAATCAAGAGAAATACTATTATACATCCAAAGAACAAAGGGGACACATGTCTTTTCCATGTGCGTATAAAGTTCAAGGGAAACTCCACCCACCATTTTGCCATTACAAAGTTAAAATGTTTAGGTTTTACAATGCCGTTTTGTGCTACAATTTTACTCAGCACATCTAATGTGTGTAAAATAACCTCGCTTCCTTCGAAATGTTTGTGTGAAGTTGTCCAATATCCGGGGCATTATGACGTAGTGTCTACACCTTCACTCGCTGCACACAATCACCCGCTCGGTGCTGTCAAGTGAACACAGCTTGGGTCCCTGACTTTTATCCTTGCTATTATATCTAAAATCAAAGAACCACCAATCATGATCCGACTACTGCACATGCATGTGTGCCGCGTGGAAAGGCATGAAAGGCTTCAGGAAAGTAAAAAAAAAAAAACCAATTTGTCAGGCATTTGGATGCTCCAATAAGCAAAACCCTGGAAACGAGCTTTTTTCGTCACTCTGGATCCAAAGATACACCCTGAGATTTGTAAGAAATGGCTTCACAGCATTAGGAATGCCAAATTCGACTTTAAATCGTTCATGCCAAGCAAGGCGTTCGTTGTCTGTTAGTCTGTGAAAACCACTTTGGGCGGGACTGCTTCAAAGAAAACCGGCAGGCGGAAGTCCTGAGTTACAAACCTAGAGTGAAGAAAGTGAAACCTGATGCAGTGCTGACAGTTTTTTCTTTCAGAAAAAAATATACAGCGTCGTTGTAAAAGATTTTTTCAAAAACCTTTCAAACATTTTATTTTTCTGGATACAATAAGTACAGTACGTGAAAAAGTGAGTGTGCATTGTCCGTAATCAGCTGATGTACATGCTTAGACTGCTCCGTGCCACAACAATAATGCATAACGCCATACCAATCAGCAGGGTACACGACCACTATATTACATTGCGTATTCTGCAAGTGTTGACGTGACGTAAAAAAAATCCCGGATGTGGCATGAATTTTGAACGATATGGCTGCGCTCATGAGCATGTAAAATCCTCTCCCATTTAGTGTGGGTCGGGTCTACTAGAGAATACCTACCCAAACAGTCACTCCACATGCAGAGCGGCACCGGTCTAGGAGGAGGGTTGGCCACGACATGAAATAATAGTCATGAGCACAAAAATATGCACACGTACATGTACTTAAAGGTAGTACCAAATTTATGCATTGGGAGGTAAATAAAGACCAAACTCACAAGAGAGGTATCTTCAGGTAGACGGTCCCCTTGTTCGGTCTGAAAACAGTTCCTTTGACCTCTGCACTGCTGACAGTAGGACTGCCTTGCTAAGTGCCAAGTTGCTCTGCAAGACGTCCCTTAGATAGCAGGAGGTGAATGTAGAGGGAGTTTTCCAGCACGCAGCCTTACAGATGTCTGCAATGGAAATCCCAGAGAAGTAAGATCAAGAAGTAGACACAACTCTAACATCATGGGCTCTGATAAATGGTTGACTCTGGTTATTGGAATGCGTTGGCCAGTCTGCTCAATAAACATACCACGCAGGAGATGATGAAGGGCAGTGTTAGTCGATATTGTGGATCAATCTACATGTATAAAACCAAAATGTACAGTGTATAGCGGCTAAGGCCGATGTATAGTTGCAGATTATGGAGACTTGTAGGCCCAAATTGAAAAGGTACATGAAAATTCCGCAACACTATTCAAAGGAGCGTCGGTTGGAGCCACGGCATGTTCGTCGCCCCACGTAGTAAAATGTCGTATTCGGCTGTCGTACACCTTGCGGGTTGAAGGGTGTCTTCCTCGTGTGGCCATGGCCGCAGCGTCATGAGAAAGTCCTGCCGAGCAGAAGGATTGTTGGACAGTGTCCAGCACGTTAAGTGAAGACTTTCTGGTGCTGGATGAAGAATTCCTGACTTCGGCTGTCAAAGATGTCTGGTCTTGCCGGAAGGACAAAGGGCCGGTGAACCAGGAGCCTGGTCAGCCTAGAGAACCAAGGCTGATGTGGCCAGAAAGGGGTGATGAGTAGGATCTGACAATGTTCGCGTTCTATCTTGGATATGACCCTGGAACCAGAGAGATAGGAGGAAAGGCTTACCCAAGTAAGCAAGTCCAATCGATCTGTAGAGCATCTGTGGCCCACTCTCGTGGGTAGGGCATTCTGGTGCAAAGCACCGGGAGTTGGGCATTGTCTGCCGATGCAAAGAGATCGACGTCTGGTCTCTCTATCGCAGAGAACAGGGATTTGACTATGTCGGCATGAAGGGTTCATTCCATTGGGCAAATTGTGCCGCAAGACAGAGCGTCTGCTATGGAATTGTCCAGCCCTGCAATGTGGATCGCTTGCACATTGATTGAGTGATCCATAGCCCAGCAGAAAATTTCCCATGTAAAGACGCACAGTCGGGAGAGTGTGTGTTGCCTTGGTGATTGATGTATGCTACCACCATGGAGTTGTCTGAGCGGATCAGGAAGTTTCTTCCCTTTATGTGCACAAGGAAATGACGTAGGGCATTGAAGACAGCCTGAAGCTCCAATACATTGATGTGGTTTGTTCAGAACTTGGTGCTCCAGGTCCCGGATACTTGATGTGGAGGAAGGGATACCCCCATCCAAAAGGTTGAAATGACTAGTCTGGTTTGGTTCGTCGAAAGGGGAGTCTGGTGATTAAGTGGTTAGACATCCTCTGAGACATGGACTGGCAAACCGATGGGTTTTACCATGGGCCAGTAGTAGGAGAGCAGACGGATCTGAAATGGTCTCATTCTGAGTCTGTGACATGGTATTAGGTCCACCATACTGGCCACCAAGCCGGGAAGATGAAGCCAAGCGAGGGCGGTTGGTGACTGCGATGACCAGAAAAGAGAAATGCAGTCTTGAAGATTGATTACTTGGTCAATCGTTGGCGTGATTATACCCCTGTGGAGATCGAGTACCGTCCCTAGATACATTGTATGTGGAAGCTGGGATGGCGTCGGGTTCGACCTTTTAAGGTTGATAAGAAAACTGAGACAGGAAGTAAGGTCGCAGGTGAAACGGATTGCGGCAATGGCCTCGCCTCGAGATCAGCCCACAATCAACCAGTCATCTAAGTGCTGGAAAATTAAAACATCTAGTTGGCACAGATACATAAGCTACAATGGTCTTGGCAATTCTCGTGAAGACCCTGGGAGAAGTTGAGAGGCCAAATCGCAAGGGCCCGGAATTCGTAAGCTCTCCCTTTGTATATGAATCGGAGGAACTTGTGGTCCCAATTGTGAATGGGTACGTGGAGATATGCATTGGGAAGATCGATCGATGAGGCCCAGGACGGAATTGGTAAGGATTGTACCACTGTCAAGATAGTTTCCATACGAAACTTCTTTGGACGTATGGATTTGTTCAATGACTTCAGGTTGATGACAGGACACCAATTGTCTGTTTCCTTCTTGGGTGTGAGAAGAAGGTGGAAACAAACCCCAATCCCAGCTGGTCAGGTTGAACATGAATAGCCCGTTTTTGAAGAAGGGAATTTATCTCCGACTCCAGCGCCACGCATTGGTCTTTGTTGCGGGGAACAGGAGACAGCTGTAGTACATGTAGTATTGCCTCGGACGGCGGAGTGCTCGTAAACTCGAGAGAATATCCATGGACGAGAGTTGAGAGGGCCCAGCTCTCCAAGGTGATGTTTTTCCAGAACCCTGTGAGCAGTTGAAGGCAGCCGCCAACGGGTTCAGACACAGCGGTCGCCGAAGGCAAAAAGGAACAGTCACCTGCGACGTCCCGAGGGATATTTTCTTGGCTGCATTAATCTGCTTGGGCCGTCTCCGGCATGTCAACAAACTTGCCAGCGAAAAGGTCTTCTCGGAACAGCGGCAGTTGCTGAAGGTGAGCTTTAACTCCCTCATAGGGAATATGCATCACATCAAGGGCATTGGATCTTCTCGTTGAAGTTGACAGACAGGATATTTGAGCAATCAGGTAAAATTCAAGGTAAAACTTTATTCACAAAGGTGTTCAAATCGACACAAAACCATGTAGCAAAAGCGGAAGCTTGAAAAATTGAAGAAGCCTCGAAAGACGTGCCTGTTACGTTACAGTGCTGAGAAAAGAAGGACGATCATGGCGGCAAAGCTGCGTTGCATTGTGGGAGGTCAGGGTGCACTACACGTGATCAAATCCTTTCAGCGAACATTAATAGGCACCTGGGAAATTTGCATACAGTATGTAGTGACTGTTTGGGTAGGTGGAGCGCAGTAGACAGAGAACGTTTTGCTTAATTTTCTAATGGTAATTAATAGGCAGGGGGCACAAGTAAAATCAGGAAATTTATATTCTCTGACACATGCTTTTCAAGACAGTTGAAAGAAAAACTCGGCCCGGAATTCCCCTTTAATGAGTTTAAAATTGCAATGGTTGGCTTGACATGTTTCAAGATGTAAGCGATGGAAAACTACCGGTGTGTTCGATTATTGGATAAACAGAGCTAGCAAGAAAAATTATTCAGGATGGTACATCTTTGCAAACCCTCATATGAGCTTCAAAATCACTAGTTTTTATGTGGAAATTATTCAAGCTTTTCATGTAGCTGGAGGCAAGGTGGATGACAATTTCTCCTGTTTCTTAAAAACCAGCAGCATTCCTTTGTTCAGTAATAAGCTCGTCTTCAAAGTGCAAGGATTTGCAGCATCAAGGATATTGTTCATAAGGGTCATTTGCAGTCTTTTCGTTTTATTGCTCGAAAATGTAAGATTTTGAACATACTGTAACAGCATTATGGCCAAGGCTCTCCAGACTATTAATCCTGTCCTCGTTGAGGAGATGAAATATGGGCCTCCCAACCACATGTGTAATTGACTTGTTATGAGGTACTTTACCTGCACGGATGCTTTATTCCCATTCGCCATGCTAATTAGTAATACTAAATCAAACTATCGAGAGCTTGTTGTTCGGCAAACTTCAGAGCCAAAAGCCTAGGCAGTTTGGTTAAATGTTTTTAACATCCATATCTCTGGGTGGTCAACAATACACTGCTATAGTAATTGTTTGCTCGATCCCGATGATGAGGATTTTTGTTCAAAATGAAGCACCGTATTCTTCCAACTAAAGATGTTTTGTACAAAAAGCGTATAATTAATGATACTCTTTGTCCATTGTGTAAATTGACTAATGAGTGTCATGGGCTCTTATTTGTGATGTGCACCTGCACCACAAAAGCTTAGATTTTCTTAGAACGTGTTCTGAGAAGATATACTGGGCATAAACTTTTCTATCTCAAAGACAGCAACAAAATTCTGGGTTATACATGTACATGTACATGTAGTTTAGGGCTGATTCCAATAGTGCTTGTAACAAAAATGCTACGTCATATTTGGAACATCAGATGTAAAGTGGTTTTTGACAACTATAAGTGCTCATTACATGTGCTCAAGATGTTGACATAATTATTAAGTTTAAGAGGTGTTAACAACTTTTTTTACTAATTGAAAAAATCGAGACTGAGTAATGATAGGTTCAAGAATATCTATGGGAAGAATGATATACTTATCAAGATGTATTTATTTATGCCCTTACCCAACATATTATAAATATACGTTGGGTAAGGGCAAACCCGT